TTTAATAGAGAAGAATCGTATAAATCAGAAATGCCTATTCAACCACAGTTAAAATCGAGTTGCATCTGTGATAAATTACTGGTTGCTTCCCAGATATAAAAAGAGGAACTCTACTATCCCGTACTTTTTGTTTGAATTATTGTAAAGTGAAGTTCGGTCATAAATAACAATGAAATTAGTAGTTGTTGCATATAATTGAAGGGTGAATGCGTTTATATTCCTTTATGGAAATATTGGAATTACATGCCGCTCTAAATGATAGATTGCCAATATAATTCATAAGATTATCTCTGGTTATTATTGGAATGGGTTTGGTTATTTGTAGGCGATGATTGAGTCGAGTAAACTGATATATAAGTTGTTACGGCACGGGTATTACGTATCTTGAAAAGTGCCATTAGGTAGATGCTTTCAACTTTCTTTGTTTCAAATCTTCTCAGAGATGAAAACTACAGACTACTCGGCTTCACAAAGCATATGCACGAATTGTGTTCTGTATTACTGAACGGTTCTTAAGACTTTTCAAATTGTGCAGTATCAAGAGAAATATGTATGTCTGAATTGGAGTGAAATTTGCCATTTTGTCATAAATTTGTATCGGTTTTTATGGGAACTCTATGTGTACTCGAATTATTTCGTTTCCACCAGAAACAAAACGTTTAAAAAACGATAGTATGGATCTTGAGCTCATTAAAAGGTTACCATAAAATATAAAAGAAATCCACCATCTCAGTTTCTGAATGATTTGGTTCGAAGAGTGATCCTTTTAGTTTCTTTTTGACGCAAAAACTTCTACAAATGTGGTTACTGACTTATACGTACTATTATGCTGGGTGCTCCTCAAAGATTCAAGTAGATGTTATAAATACTGAAATTACAATATAAACAAAATAAAAATGCCTTAAATCTTTTGAAGTGGACCCCGGTCTCAGTGACTATTCATTCTCTGATATTTTATTATTACCACGTTTAAATATACTAAGTGACATATAAATCCGAACACCCAGTTTAAATGGTTTTATTTTAATAAAAGTTGGTGAATGTATTTATCTTACTGTAAATAACAAGTGAAAAAATGTTCAGCCTTATCAGTTGGACATTCCGGTTTTTATACTGCTTTTTTTTAATTCACTAACGCTCTAAAAATGAATATTTAAGCCGCAGTAAAGAATCAACGTTGGCGGATTTTGGTTCTTGACATCCTTTACGATCGGTTACGATGCCTAGAGTATGGAGACCTGTACGATTTCGTCAACTTAGTGAGTTTGATAGGGGCCGTATAGTGGGACTTCAGGAAGCTGGGCTTTCTTTTCGGCAATTGCAGTTATAGTGCAAATAAGTGTAGACACTGTGGTTAGGTGTTGTCAGGCATGGCTTCGAGAAGGCCGTACGCAAAGAGCAAGGGGCACTGGACGCCGCCGTAGAACAACAGACCGTAAAGATCGCCGCCTAAGATTATTGGCCTTAAGGGACCGTTTCTCCACTACCAGGTCCATTGCAAATGAATGGTTTGCAGAACACGGAAGACCTATTGGCATGCGAAGTGTTTACCGACGAATGAGAAGTTTTGGCTTGTTTTCATACCGGCCACACTGGGTCCTCCCTTTAATTCGAGGACACCGACTTAATCGCCTTGAGTGGTGCAGACAGCGGTCACTCTGGGATCAGGAATGGAACAGTATTGTCTTTAGTGACGAGTCTCGATTTTGTTTAGGCATGCACGATGGTCGTGCCAGGGTTAGAAGGCGACGTGGTGAAAGGAGGAATCCACAGTTTTTTGTTGAAAGACATGTTCATGACACTGTTGGAGTTATGGTTTGGGGTGCTATAGCTTATGGTTCCAGGTCACCTTTAATCTTCATCAGAGGTAACATGAACGCGCAGCGTTATATCCACGAAGTTCTAGAACCCCATCTTTTACCCTATCTTGACACCCTGGCAGATCCAACTTTCCAACAAGATTATGCCCGACCACATTTTGCAAGAGTCACAATAGTTCTTTCAACATAATGATGTCACATTGTTACCATGGCCACCAAGATCTCCTGACTTATCCCCAATTGAGCACGTGAGGGATATGATGGGTAGGAGATTGCTCAATTTGCAACGTCCTCCTCAGGCTCTAGAAGCACTTCGAGAGGAGTTGGTGGTTGCCTGGAATGAGATACCACAGGAGGACATTGACCACCTGATCAGAAGCATGCTTAGGCGCGTTGGAGAATGCGTAGCACATCAGGGTGCATCCACACATCATTAAAGGTCAAAGGGCTTTAAAGCAGTGCAATCATTTTGAAATTTGTATCATTTACTTATTATGCTTCATTAAGTACTTATACAAAATTTTATTAAAATAAAACCATTTAAACTGGGTGTTCGGATTTATATGTCACTTAGTATAATCTGTTCCCATAATGTCGGAGCTTCTCCAGTATTCGAGCAAAAAATCGCATTGAAATTCGTGCGATTAATCGATCCTTAATCGTTGACGTTCGCTGTATAAAATCCATAAGATGAACTTTACGAAAAGCCAGAAGTCGCTTATCTGCTTTATCTCATCTCTCGACGATGCAATAAGAGCATAAATTGATTTCTTTATCATGGTCCAATGGTTCGATGAATTTCTTTCCGCCTAATCATCTACCTACAGGCCCGGAGTCTAGTTCTATCGTTCTGTGTGTTAAGGTCAGATGGGTTGTCTATGATGAGTGATATATGTCTATTAAATATCCGGATTGAAAGTATATTAATATACCAACATCAAAAATTGCGATACACCCCACTTCAAACCCAAAAAGGACCAGCGTCCTCTGAAACGTCAAAAACGAAGCTTGACCTTTTTTTATTTTTACTGGGCCGATTTCCAAAAACTACAAAGTTTTTTCGTCCTTCGGAAAATTTTGGGAAGATGTAAACAAGTAAGGACCATGAACACTTCCATAGATTGACATCCTGTTATAAACAAGCTGCCCTCAAATTATCAGGCTTAGTGTTTGAAGTTTGAAGACGAATAAAACGTGCTTCCTGTTATGTCACATAATAAAATTACCGATGTAAATATTGGAATAATATTTGCCAAACGTGCCACCGACAGTATGTGTTCATTTTAGCTAATAATGGAAGATAACATCATACTTGGCATAGTTTTTCAACTGTAAATACTGTTATTACTAATACATTTTGTGTTGGCTAGTCCATACCTGTCTTAATCATGGACTAATAGGCTAAAGGCCCCGAGCTGTAGTGAAATTATACGATCGTTTATAAGAAATAGACGTACTTGGCTCATGAAAGTGAAACCATCAGTATGATTGTTTTTATTGAAAGATTTGGATTTTAACAGTTAAGCGAACCGGTGTATTTTACAGTCCTTCCTCGTCAGATTACGAAATTCTCCACGTAAAAAGGTGACTGAATACTTCAATGAACAAGATGTTCATCTTATTGTGAGACTCATTGAATTAATTAAAATGCGATGCAATGTTCAAAGCGAATCAGATCGAAAATATGTAACTAAAACCAGACTCATTCTTTTGCCATTGTTTGCAACAAACACACAAACACTATGAGTAGGACGAAACGAATCCGAAACTTTAAACTAAAAATTGTTGTTTTTGATTATGATATCATTAATTTGCGTCCACAAATATCTGGTCATTTGAAACATACTCAAAATGCATTTTATACCGTTGAGGGCGTATAACAGGGTCCTTCATTCTAGAGATACAAGAAATGAAGTGAAACTTCTTTTATTAAATGTTGGAAAAATCACTTGTTCGCCTACATTCAAAAAATCATTATGTACCTATATAAGTGTTCCAGAAAGGACCGATTGTAGCTGTGAAAGGCTTTTAAAATGACTTTATATGTCGAATTTTGGTGCTGCGGTCAGTATAATAAGAACAATAATAATAATAATAATAATAATAATAATAATGTTTATTTGCAACATACATTTAGCTAAACATAGTAGCAAAATACATTTAAATGAGATATGTTACAAGAAAGGGCTGAAGGCATTTAAAAATGACACAAGTTCAGCCCTTTTGATGGTCTGGTAACAAATTGTTTTCAGTTAAATAACCTCTTATTTGTTGGTCCGATATAATCTCCATTAGTTTTGATAGCAGTAGTAAAATACTTATGGGTCGAAGATCATTGTAGTCTTTAATTTTGGACTTCTTCGATATTGGTATAATTTTGGCAATTTTCCGTGTGTCTGGAAATTCTCTATCTAAAATACAGGAGTTTATTATATTTGTAATGTAGGGGATGATTCTATGGGAACACGATAAGGTCATTTCAAGATTTAAACCATCAGCACCTATGGCAAGCGATTTAATTCTGAGAAGTGCATTTTTAACGACATCCTGATAACCGTGTGTAATTCAAAAAGAGTGTTGACGTTAGTACGCTTATTGTTATAATAGTAATCCAAAGTGTTATAGTCTATTGATAAGTTGGTCGAGAGATCTGAAAAAAAAATGGTTGTTTTTTTGTTGCTAATATTTAAATTTAATAATTTTCTCCAAAGCACTTTAGTTTGGTTGGTATTTTTATCAATACAGTATTTCAAATAACTTTTCTTTTCATTATAGATGGCAACATTCGTTTGATTTCTCATTTGTTTATAATTTTTCCAATTGGCAGCAGTGTTGTTTTTCTTAAATTTCTGGATTTTTTCGTTTTTTAGTTTAATCATGCGTTTAATAGAAAACGTTAACCAAGGGGGTTTTGTAACTTTAAATTATAATAAGACCTTTCCCTCAACTTTTGGTAAATAGATCAATTGTTCGAAAGGAGAAATTTCCAAAAACTTATTGAGCAAGTCTTTATCTAGATTTCCTAAGTTTCTGAAGCGGAATTTTTTAGAACAATGTTTTTCAAATAATTCATATGGGGTTGTCCAAAACGGATGCAGGAAAGTAAACGCATATTAAAACAAGAAAGATTGATATTCAAATCAAGTTGGGTACTTTATTTTGAAGGTTCATTTATACCATTTATGTATGAAAAATAATATCGCTCAAATGTTCACCACGACTGGATTTACAGACGTCCACGCGATGGTCGAAATTTTCAATGACATTTTGCAACATGGTCGGTTCTATGGCATTTATCTCGGCAATGATGTTGTTTTTGAGTTCCTGGAGGGTGGCTGGTTTGTTGACGTAGACTTTGCTTTTCAAATATCCCCATAAAAAGAAGTCCAAGGGAGTCAAATCGCACGATCTTGGTGTCCATGGCACATTTCCTCTGCGCGAAATCACGCGATGACCGAAGAAAGACTGCAATCGATGGATATTGACGTTGGTTGTGTGGCATGTTGCACCGTCTTGTTGGAAATAAACATCGTCCATATCCATTCCTTCAAGTTGCGGCAAAAAATTTTTGATGAAAAAGTGGCATCAATTTGGCTGTGTTCAAGGAGCCAATCTGATAACGTTCGGCGCGAAAAATGGTCGGCGCCAATTGGATCCTGTAGGCGTGTACATTCAAATCCTTGTGGAGAATGCGGAGCAAACTGGTTCTCGAAATGCCCAATTCTTGGGATCCACGCGTTGTTGATTGTTTTGGATCGTCTCTCACACTCTCCTTCACAACAGCAATCTGTTCCGGTGTGCGAACGGTCCTTGGCCGGCCAGAGCCTGGCAGATTTGCCATAGGATCTGTTGCCTCGAATTTACGCACCAGACGACCGATGGTTGTTTCGTTTGGGCGGTTGTTGCGGCCGAAATGTTCACGAAGCGCGCGAAACGTGTTTTTTATTTTTGCACCATTTTTGTAGTGCATCTTCAAACCCGTTATAAGTCTCATTCTGAAAGATTTTCTTCTTCCACAACTCTTCTTGTACCACTATTTCATGGTTGCATATTTGACTCGAGATGTGATTTTTCTACATTTGATAAATTTGTTCAACAAAATTTCTGGATCTCTGGATGAGAAGCCCTTCTATGTGTCCTCAATAAACGTGTTCACTTACAGAATCCATCTATACATGTTTTGCTACAGTGTTAGTCAAATCTTAGGAGCCACCTACCATATTTACAAAACATCAAAAATAAGTCATAGTCAGTCATATTTCGGAGTTACCCTGTACTGAAGTTTGTAAAAGTGTTCCTTAAATATTAGTTGGTATTTCCTGCAGAGTGCATATAACTGAGTAGAATAATATTTGATGTGCGCTTTATTAAAAAGAAAAATGATTCTAATTACTTTGCTTTCTGATACCGTTAAAACAATGGATTGCTTCTGGAAGGTCGCGACCAAAACATATCTCGGACTACCAAAAGATACGATCAGCGATTCAAGACAGAGATCATATTTGCAACACTTTTTTCATTGTTTGCCGCGCCACTGCTGTAATTACTAATTACCATAAGCGTGTTGAGTTCTTAGTCTTTTCAAGGTCGAAGGTTGTCATGCATGTCTTGATTGAGTGCATATGCCTATAGGAGTGTAATCATATGCCTCGTATCTATGAACAGAATGTATTGAGAACAACAAATTTTGTAGGTATAATAAACTTTTTTAAATCACTTCTGTTTTAAATCACTCTCATCATAATTTGGGGACAAGCAACTTCAATTTCTAGAGCATTTGTTCAACAGAAGAGAATAATCAGACTGATATTCAACATTCGTAGAAGAGAATCCTGCAGAGATATCTTCAGAAGTAAAAACATCATGACTCTACCAAGCATTCATATTTATAAGTGCGCCCTTTTCGCACATACAAACAAAACAAAATTTATACAGAACAGAAACATCAACACACATTATAATACAAGGGCAGGTGAGAGTCTGAGTATTCCAAAACACACACTGACGCTGTTCGAAAAGTCACCGGAATACACCTGCATCAGATTATATATAACAAACTTTCAGCTAACCTCAGGAATGTCAGTAGTATTCCTAGTTTTAAATGCAAACTACGCAAATTATTAGTTGAAAAATGTTTCTATTCTTTGTCTGAATACCTCGCACTGTGATATATTTTTTTTTAAACTTTTTTATATGTGAATGTCTGTACGCATTAAGTTGTCCCTGTTTGTACTTTGTAAATACTTATGTTTGTTTCGTTTTTATTTTTAATTATGTGTACTATGTACCTCCCTCTTAGGACGAGTCTTATGTCATTTTTTATGATCTACAAGACAATAAATGTATCTATCTATCTATCTATCTATTAGCGAAGAAATCTCCTAACTTCTTCTTTTTCACTAACATTGATTCAGTTTAAAAGGGTGGATCGTGAGGGCAGAAATTTGGCGTGCTAGGTATTCCCTGATATTAATGTAGATTCCTTAGAGCCGACTTTACAAACATTTTCAATTTTCAATGACACGAGAAGGACGTAAAACCTGTAGGTATTTTTAGAAATTCTGTAGTAAAAAGTTGTAAAAAGGATGTTTGACTGCAGGAATACATTTGAACCTGATATAATATTTTTTAAACATGTATGACTTTCAAATGCAAGTTCTCCATACTTATCTTTGAATTAGACGAATAAGTAACTACCTTCAGATCCATCCAATAACATAATGCTCATTGAGCATAAATTCATTTTTTTCACTAGGTTCTTTTTAAAAAAATATCGAAGTTGAACAGAAAAAGTACGCACTTCAACCAATCATAAAACTTGTGCTAAAACAAAATTCCAAAAAGTGCTCCTATAGCACCCTGGGCAATTATCTTCTAAACATACTGTATGAATTTCATTGAAAAATATTGAAAAATGGAGTGTCAGTTTTGAAGCAGCTGAACCCTTGTAAATGGCTTGAAACACGTAGGCATGGGGTTACGTGTTTTCATTTTCCATGATACCTCGAACACGAGTAGACGTCGATTTAAGCAAAACTGTCATATAGTCGATAACAACTTGTAGAATGAATTGCCGTTCGCTGAAGAATGAAATTAACCAGGAAACAATCGCACTGTGGGTAGAATTGGGTGCGAATTGAGCAACTGCATATATCAACCGCTCCAGTTAAGAGCCAACAAAGGCGCACGTTCACGATTTATTCACAGGAATAATAAGCAGTTCAGCATGTCAGATATCTACATAATTTACCGTATTACAAGAGGCGGCCTTGAGGTGACTAAGAAGTCGACAATAGGCAATCACAGCAATTAGGCGTACAGTATGTTGTGGTATGTTATAAAAATGTTGCGGAATTAGATTACTGTACCTACGTTGAACAGTTTCTTTGTTGGAATACAATGATACGTTGTTGCAAGTCCAAATCACGATCTTTCAATATTATTCAAGTTCGCATGATATAAGTGTTAGGCACTTGACGTTCCCCTAGAGTATCAAATTACTGCTGTTTTTAAAAATATGTGCAACTTATGATGGGGAAAGTATCAAGCTCCTGCAGGAATAAACACAGCGAACATGGCGACTACGTTAAATATACTAAGTGACATATAAATCCGAACACCCAGTTTAAATGGTTTTATTTTAATAAAATTTTGTATAAGTACTTAATAATAAGTAAATTATAAAAATTTCAAAATGATTGCACTGCTTTAAAGCCCTTTGACCTTTAATAATGTGTGGATGCACCCTGATGTGCTACGCATTCTCCAACGCGCCTAGGCATGCTTCTGATCAGGTGGTCAATGTCCTCCTGTGGTATCTCATTCCAGGCAACCACCAACTCCTCTGGAAGTGCTTCTAGAGTCTGAGGAGGACGTTGCAAATTGACCAATCTCCTACCCATCATATCCCACACGTGCTCAATTGGGGATAAGTCGGGAGATCTTGGTGGCCATGGTAACAATGTGACATCATTATGTTGAAAGAAGTCTATTGGGACTCTTGCAACATGTGGTCGGGCATTATCTTGTTGAAAAGTTGGATCTGCCAGGGTGTCAAGATAGGGTAAAAGATGGGGTACTAGAACTTCGTGGATATAACGCTGCGCGTTCATGTTACCTCTGATGAAGATTAAAGGTGACCTGGAACCATAAGCTATAGCACCCCAAACCATAACTCCAACAGTGTGATGAACATGTCTTCCAACAAAAAACTGTGCATTCCTCCTTTCACCACGTTGCCTTCTAACCCTGGCACGACCATCGTGCATGCCTAAACAAAATCGAGACTCGTCACTAAAGACAATACTGTTCCATTCCTGATCCCAGAGTGACCGTTGTCTGCACCACTCAAGGCGATTACGTCGGTGTTCTCGAGTTAAAGGGAGGACCCAGTGTGGCCGGTATGAAAACAAGCCAAAACTTCTCATTCGTCGGTAAACACTTCGCACGCCAATAGGTCTTCCGTGTTCTGCAAACCATTCATTTGCAATGGACCTGGTAGCGGAGAAACGGTCCCTTAAGGCCAATAATCTTAGGCGGCGATCTTCACGGTCTGTTGTTCTACGGCGGCGTCCAGTGCCCCTTGCTCTTTGCGTACGGCCTTCTCGAAGCCATGCCTGACAACACCTTACCCCAGTGTCCACACTTCTTTGCACTCTAACTGCAATTGCCCGAAAAGAAAGTCCAGCTTCCCGAAGTCCCACTATACGGCCCCTATCAAACTCACTAAGTTGACGAAATCGTACAGGTCTCCGTACTCTAGGCATCGTAACCGATCGTAAAGGATGTCAAGAACCAAAATCCGCCAACGTTGATTCTTTACTGCGGCTGAAATATTCATTTTTAGAGCGTTAGTGAATTAAAAAAAAGCAGTATAAAAACCGGAATGTCCAACTGATAAGGCTGAACATTTTTTCACTTGTTATTTACAGTAAGATAAATACATTCACCAACTTTTATTAAAATATAACCATTTAAACTGGGTGTTCGGATTTATATGTCACTTAGTATATAAATGTTAGGCACTTCATGTTCCCCTAGACCTAGAGTATCAAATTACTGCTGTTTTTAAAAAGATATGCAAATAATGATGGGGAAAGTATCAAGCTCCTGCAGGGATGAACACGGCGAACATGGCGACTACGTTAAATATATTATTACAACGTCCAGACTGACTAAAAGCAATGGCAATCGCTTAACTTTGCCTTGGAATGTACAAGATGCGGTGTTTCAATGTTGCAGAGTTTGTGGCGATCCCGACCTTTCGTTTCGACCTAAAATGGAACGCCGCTAGGACCGCTCGTGAGTCAATCCTAAACAGATTCGATACCATTCACAGCTCAAAAATATGTACGCTCAAAATAAACCGTTATTTGGGAGTAAAGAACATTATTTCAATTTCCAATGCCGCGTCAGCGTTGCTAGGCAACGCGGTGATGCGCTTCGCTATCCAGGCGGCTTGTATATCTTTCTATCGAGTGTGCCTATAAACACTTGTCTCTCGTACACGTTATACTTAAGCCGTCACACATGTGGTTAACAGTATATGTAGATTATAATTAACAGAGCCTGCAACTTAGTATGTTTAACTATATTGTTGTCCCATAACTGTTACTTGCAGCACTTATAAAACCTATTGAGTGACTGACGTGTCCTATGAGATGTGCCTATTTCGCTTGTACAGCTGTTCTAACGTTTTGCCTATGCTCTTGCAACATAAAATGTTGTGTAAGGAATACTGTGAAAACAACCCTAATAGGAGTGATAATTGTTAGTTGGGTGTGGTGTATAGAAGTCTCGGGTGACCCACATATGTCCAGTCATCATTACAGCTTATCCTTCGACGCTGTAGATCCGGTTCTAAAACACCCTGCATCGGCTGCATACTCATGCACTCGATCATGTCATGCCACAAACAGTTATGCAACACACTGACATATTTTTCTGAACCATCTGAAGTGGAAAGTATCC